ACTGAAAACGAACGAAAAGGCAGAAGGAGAATTCGGATGGCAACGGCCCGGTTCACATTGGACAAACTGAAAACGAACGAAAAGGCAGAAGGCGACTTCGTATGGCTACGGCCCGACCCATTTTGGACAAACTGAAAACAACGAAAAGGCAGAAGGATAATTCGGATGTCTACGGCCCGCCCCATTTTGGACAAACTGAAAACGAACGAAAAGGCAGAAGGAGAATTCGGATGGCTACGGCCCGCCCCATTTTGGACAAACTGAAAACGAACGAAAAGGCAGAAGCAGAATTCGGTCGGATGGCTACGGCCCGGGCCACTTCTGGACAAACTGACAACGTACATACAAATAAATGCAAGAGTGTACTGGCGTATTCCCGGGTACCAATCCGTTCGGAATACCCCGTTAGATATTATTAACCATGCTACTCAATGCGGAATACAGTGGGGCCGTCCCTACATGGAACGGCAATCCCTTATGGAGTAAAGGTCCCCAACCAGCCCAGCGCGGACTTGTGATTATTTAACGAGATTCTTGAGGCTCCTAACCCCGATGCCGAAGATCACCGCAGCCTGCCAACACGTGTGGTAGGGAGCAGATAGGATTCTAGCGACGTTCCAGGACTGCGAGTTAGGTAAGGTGAACTATGTATCGCATCGAACATAGTTAAATGCATTAGTTGGTCGGGATACAGATGCATGTTGGTCCGTGTTTTCACTTCGAAAAATCGTATTCCCGCCACAACTCCCGCGACTTCAATCAAGCACCTCAGTATCTAGCAAGACAAGTGTTAATGTACATGGACCTCATTTGTAGACAGATGGAAGATGGCGGTGGGGTGAAGGTTCACTATCTGTGGTCATAGTATTCCATATACGCTGACCTATACAGAAATCTAGACGGTGACTTGCCAATTTCATCGCGTCGAAAACTGAATTCCGCACCGAATAAGAGGAAGGTGCCTTCGCAATGGAGAATCTGAAACAGTGTGAGAATTCCAGATTTGATCGGCCCGTAACCACTGTGACAAAGCCTTAACCAGTGTGATGTGACAATCGAATCATTGTTTCAAACAGATAGTCATGCGAGACTCATGCTGTCACAGGCATATGTCCGGAAACCTCTGTGGCACAAATATGCTCACGGGAAAAGGTAAATGCATGCTTTCGTTTGCAGTTATGGTACATTGATTTGATATCATGAACTGAGGGATGGACACACTTGACTCGCCTTGTGCTCGACTGCCAATTTCGCTCCGCAAGTAAGTGGGCTCGCAGTGCGGGTTCAGCCTACAACTTAAAACCTTCAACACCGTGAGTTCCGCCTTCGGACACCTCAGCCCCAAGCCCTATGTGCGGCAACCCAAGGTGCCCTGCATGTTCCCCGCAGTCTGAAGCCCCAACTCGAGACCCCCAAAAAACCTACACACCCTTCAACCGGAGACCAGCAACTCTCTGTCTCGGAAATCATGAGAACATCTGACCTGGCCTCCTCCTCAACTGTGCAGGTCAAACGTCTCTCTGGGAACTCCATTGCAAGAATGTGCGACTTGCGTTAGGTCTTCGGAGCATTTTTGTCTTGAGGTCGGGATTTTGTGGGATTCAAACGCCCTGCGCACAACCTTGGTGCAAGTATCCAAGGCTTCGTGGGGTGGGTGGGTGTGTGTGTGTGTGTGTGTGTGTGTGTGTGTTTGTGTGTGTGTGTGTGTATGTGTCTGCGTGTGTGTGTGTGTGTGTCTGTGTGTGTGTGTGTGCCTGTGTGTGTGTGTGTGTGCGTTGGGGGGGGGTGCTGTGGAAGGCACAGATTAGGGCAGGAATCTAAGCCCGGGCTGTGTGACCCTCATGAACATGAAGAGGCGGGGTCACGAGCCAGGAAGCTGTCTGAATCGAATCGGGTCCAAGTTCTGATGGTCTTTCGTCGGTACTTCCGGGGCTTTGGAGTTTAGGGACTCGAAACTTGTGCCGCTTGAATAGTTCGAAGCGGTGGCTGGATATGCCCGTGGGAACTAAATCCCAGCACTTTGCATAACAAGCAGCACACATCTGCAAGTCGCTTCGTCTTCCACTGCACTGACATTGCATTGAGCTTGTCGCTTGGGAACAACGAATTTCTTGCGGTCGCAAGGCAGGCAACGCACGAAAATTTGCGATGCCATCACAAAAATGTATGGGATGTTTCCCTCCACTTCATGGAGGGGTGCTCGAATGCCACGCAGTCTTGCGCAAAAATGGCGTTGCTGCCCTGTCCCGAAAGCAACACAAGAAAACTCACGTGGCAATGCCCCGTCAATACTGCTGAAATGTAATGTTCTCCTCTTGCACGACACTCTGAACTTGGCTGCTTTCTTTTCAGGAACAACATCACTGAGTAGTCGAAGGGGAGTAGGCGTACTGCTTCATACTGCCACATAGCCCCCAAGACCGTGGAATACCGAATGTATACACACTAGGGTCGCCTGCGTCTCGCAGTGGCCCTTAAGACACTGGAAGGGATGTCCTCAGAAGCCAGCAAAGGCTTCAGCTATCGAAGCCCAGCTACGTGGATATCATTCCTCCCTCCCAAAATGAAAGCCCAAGGGTTCGAGTGTGTGTTTGTTGGCCTTTCGGGCTTGCTCTTCTGCAGAAAAGTACAGCTCGAACCGTTGAAACCCAGTGTATCAGCAATTGCTGACTTGGCACTTTGTCCAATTTCTACCGGAACCCAAATGAGGGGGAGACCGCCCCAAAGCAGAACCCTAAAAATCCCCAATCCATGAACTCTTCTCGCTCAAGCCCCAAACTCCAAAAGGCTGCTCCTCAAGGCCATGACGCTTCTGGCTGGCTCTCATGTGCCCGCCTCTACAACGGCTCTGAAAACAACTCGGGTTGAAGGTCGAAATCCCCCCCGGATTTCGCTGTTGCTCTGGCGTCATAGTTGTGACGCCGACAGGACAAAGACTTGTTCGGTTTCTTTCGGGCTTATGATGTCGACGGGTACTTTTTGCATCAACACACAAGCCGAAACACTGAAGCCTGAACAGTTCTAACCCTAGCATCCTATACTGCATACCACAGGCTGTTCTTTGGGGCTTACGGGCCTGCGCAACTACAGCACACACTTCCGACCTAGTCAGTTAATCCCTTGCCCCTAAAGGGGTGGCACTCGGAAAGTGTGTTTCTGTTGTTAGGAGGTATTGCTCTACTGTCACTTTTCAGGGATCTTGCTCTTGGTGCTGCTCTGGCTCTTGCTCCTGCTCCTGCTGTATCTCTTGCTATTGCTTCTGCGCTTCCTCTTACTTTTGCTCTTGCTTCTGCTCTTCCTCCTCCTCTTGCACCGGACCCCTAATGCAAATTAGGTTTTGAAGGGCAGGGATGATTTCGCGAGGAAAGGCCCAAACTGTTTTGATTATTACGGGGATGCTTAAAACATGGGGGAATGGGTTACCGTCCGTAGCGATCTGGCATGTTTAGGGATATCGCGAACAAAAGCACGCCCTGGCTTTGGCATGGCCTGGCTTTCAAGGACTATGCCTTGCAAAACGACGAAATACGAAGACGTTAGCGGATCTCGAATCTTCGGTGGCACACGACCTCTTTGTTATTACTGTACCAGAAAATAAGCCGTCAGCATCTGTCTCATGGTTCCTCTTAACAGCCGTGGCAAATGGCTGGGAAGAACACGCCGTCGGCCCTCGACCTAAACCTACCCCACAGCCAAGAAACACTAAAAGATCAGGGATTGCAACTCCCGTTCGGGCTTGGGCTTACAAGCACCCAGAACCCTCAAACGATTCCCAATTCTACCTTTGGTGTGTCGGTTCGGAGAAAGGACAAGAACCAACAACGTGACAGTGTAATCCCATCAAGCTGGAAATCAGATCTCCTTGAACCCGACACCCTATAGGTCCTAAATCGCCCGATCGGGTGCCTCCTGCTGCATCTCGTGCTCCAG